CGCTCCCGTGGGCTCGCAGCTCTCGCGAACATGTATCGCGCCATAAGTGCCATCCCTGACCCCCGATCGCTTCCGGACGTCGAGTTCATCATCGACATCGAAGACCGAGCGGCCAGAGGCGAGAAGAATCCTAAACGTATCAGGTGGGCTTGGGCGCGCGAGGAGAGTAACCCGTGGCTATGGGTTATGCCTGACTTTGACGGATGGAGCTATCCCGACGATGGCGTAGGATCGTATGTGCAGTTTCGCGAGGATGTACAAGAGCTAGAGTCTGAATACCCTAATGGATGGGACGACAAAGAGGACAAGGTGTGTTGGCGAGGAAGTTTAGCCGTGAACCGTAAGCTACGCACAGCCTTGGTAGAAGCTGCGAAGGGTCATGATTGGAACGATGTCGAGGCCATCGACTGGCATGATCGCTCCAACGTCATGGCTATGCGAGACTTCTGCCGCTTCAAGTATGTCGTCCATACAGAGGGTAATTCCTGGAGTGGACGGTTACGATACTTGCAGAATTGCGAAAGTGTCTCCATCATCCATAAGCTGGACTACGTCTTCCATTACCATCCCCTACTAAAGGATAGTGGTCCTCACCAGGTATGCTTTCCTGGCCCTCTTGACTCGAAGATCTGAGGACCAAATCTGGCTAACCACACCGTTCTCTAGAACTACGTCAAGGTGAAACGCGACTGGTCAGATCTGTCGGCCCAGATGGATGGCCTACTCGCCGACCCCGACCGAACACGACACATCGCAAAGGAATCGGCGAGAGTATTCCGAGACCGCTATCTTACCCCGGCCGCCGAAGCTTGCTACTGGCGACGAATGATCCGCAACTGGCACGACGTGATGGATTTCAAGCCGCGACGATACGAGACCAACGAGGATGGTATCAAAGTCAGAAGAGGAGTAAGTTGGGAACGCTTCGCCTTCCGACAGAAGAAGAGCTTTGAACATGGCTTCTGGGAACCTGACGGTGGCGAGGGTGAAAACGAGTGAGCCCGTCCTTGCGATCAGGAAAAAGGAATACCGTAACTCCTATTATCCCCGACTTGCCTAGACTTGGCGGACCCCAAGCCTCCATCTCTCCCAAGATTAGGAGGCGTCCACCTAGGCTAGTTCGGCGCCCGGCCAGAGATGCGCAGCTGTAAACCACTCTGTATAAGCAAGAAGACCGATAGCTACCTACATGTAGGTAAGCATGCCGGTACCTGGAGGATGGAGACCCACGTCACATCTAAAGCATACCGCACGATCGGGACGAATACCTATATGTACCTGGGCACATACAGTGTATATCATATGCCCACAAGAAGTGTGCCTGGAACCAGGGGTCGGGACGCCGACCGAATAGCTGATCAGTCAGTCATGGTGCCAACGATAATTTAGGTCAATTGTCGCGGGACTTTATAAACTTTTCTAAACTAGATAGTAATTACAGCAACGCAGACTTATGACGGCTAGGTCTTTCCGGCGAAGGCCAAGCCTTAACCCGTTGCCTGCTAAACGATGATACAATGACAGGCCGTCCTTCCCCGGAGGCGGGTCACTCTTGGGTGAGGTTGTAGATCTTCTGAATGCCATGTAACATCTCCTCGTGATCTACCTTGAGGTCCTTCAGCAGGCCGTCCTCGAACCCGAATACCCATCCGTGGACGATAGGGAATTGGTTCTTGGCGTATGACTGCTGCACGGCGGCCGTCTTGATGACGTTGCGGCATTGTTCGATGACGCTAAGCTCGACCAGCCGATTGTACCGGGAGTTCTCGTCCTTGATCGCGTCTAGCTCCGCCTCGTGCAACCGATACACGTCCCGGATGTTCCGCAGCCACGGGTTAAGCAGACCAAGGTCCTTCGGCGTCATAGCAGCCTTGACCCCGCCGCAGCCGTAGTGCCCGCACACGACGATGTGCTTCACCTGCAGGTGGCGCACCGCGTAATTGATGACGCTCATGACGTTGAGATCGGTGTTCACGACCAAGTTGGCGATGTTGCGGTGAATAAACGCCTCGCCCGGCCCCAGCCCCGTGATCTGCTCCGCCGGGATGCGCGAGTCACTGCATCCGATCCAGAGGTACTCCGGGGTCTGGCCCGCGGATAGCTTGGCGAAGAATTCAGGATCCCGCTTCTTCTGCTCCTCCGCCCACGCGCGGTTGTTCTCGAAGACGCGGTCGTGCGTCTGCTGGAGATACTTGGAGATCTCCGACTGCGACATGGCGCGCCAACCGTTGGAGCTTGCGGTCGAGCTTGAGTATCGTGGGAATATGCGGGTTGGCTGTGTGTTGTGTCCTGAGCAGAACGTTCGTCGGGTTGATGAGAGAAGACTGCGGGCCAAGCGCGGTTTATAAAGCATTGGACCCGTCATATGTGGTGGCGGTTTCGAAATCGGAGTGAAGAGGGAAATAACGGCCAGCAAAGAATTCCCCGTGGCTTGCGGTCCTCACGTGAGGTTTGTTGAGACGCCAGAGACGTCAATAGTGGGGGATCTACGGAGAGAGCCGAGCAGATTTTGTACTACACTAGGCACATTCTGGTATTGTGCCAATAGTACCTCATTCGTGACGTCTAAGTTCAAGTCAGTGTGAGGATTTGAGAGACTTGAGAGAGAGGGTTCGGGGAGATTAATATATCCCTGTATATAACATTCGCTTTATTTTGAAAAGCATATTCTTTCCTTACATATGTACATTACGGACTACACATGTGTGTATATTTTCATTATGCATGTAAGATACAACTATGTGAGTCCGGCTGCCGTGTATCAATTTACATGTACGTTAGTGAGAGACTAGTCGCTTTTGAGGCTCCATTGCGTTAGTATGATGTTGCAGACAACGGCTCGATGGGTGATGAACTATCCACCTCCTGACGTCGTTATTTTAGTTTCCACCCAATCTAATAGCCATGACAAGTAAAGATACTACTGGCTATAAACTGTACACATAACATATATGTGATGGTGAGTGGACACTCAGTAGAATGCCCTTCTTTACTATGGCGGATGGCGGTGAGGAGCAATCGGGATCATGGTAGCGCTGTTGCACAACATAAGACCATCAGCATTCTGGAGTCCAAAGGAAACTGAAGCATCCGGAGAAGTACGACTTCTCGCAGTATTCGTCAATCATTCAGTTATATGAAGAGACCAACAGGATCCAAGCAGAGCAAGCCAAAACCGGGACGCTTTGAGCTCTTGGCCGTATTTCGCCGTACCTTAACTGTTTAAGCCACTACGGAGGAGTAATAGAGGTATTCGTACCGGCAAATCCGGAATTACTGGTCCTGATTCGGGTAGGGATCCTTTCTTCATCTGTACCAGCTCCGTCTACCTAATTATGTAGCGCATCTAAGGGTTCAATCAAGCTCGTTTTGCAAGTGAGCACCGGTATTCTGACAGGAAAGGGTTGACGGTAACTTTCCTAACCATGGCACTTACGCAGTGCATTTTTCGTGTTATCGAGGCCTTCGACGAGACTATCGAAATGTTCCTCGACGTGGGACAGATTTTACCCAACTTCCACGCGTGGGCGACTGTATCTTCATCCAGTCTAACAGTCTATAGGGTGTTGTGTTTATTTTATGAGATATCCTTAATCACCACCTAGTCCTCCTCGATTCCTTTACCCGGAAAAGTACGTACGTCAAGTCCTACCCAGTGGCGAGATATTCACGCTTATGACGTCTAAGAATAGGATATATTCTTTAAGGCTTTCCGGCCAGATACAGCGAGAGAATAAGTAACATCAAGAACAATATCAGTAACCACAAGAGCCCAGCGATAGAAAAGAAGTAACGCTCGAGCATATCGTACAAGCTCTTACGGCGCGACAATAGGCTGAGGTGGAACATGAACGAATATCCGAATTCCAAGACTGGCAGCGCTTTCATAGCGTGCGAACCGAACTCGGAGTACCACTGTGCGATGTAGAGGTTGAGAATACTACGAGATCTGTGTTGAATCCGGGACCCCCGAGATACATATGTGCGGATCCTGACCGATACCGTATATCTTAGGTCTCCCGCCGTATCGCTTAGATTTAGACTTATCCATATCACTTTAGCCCACCTAGAGTCCATCAATAGCAAGGCGTTTACATCCTCAGTCGCACCCCAACACCTCGTGAAATCCTTGTCGAACTTGCTCACCGACCGCGGCTGTGTGCTGCTGCTGAGTTGGACCCAATGTTTGACCTTAGTTGAAACGAGTACAGCTGGATGGAGGATAGATATGGCGCCTAGATCATGCTCGAGATTCAGTGTTCGAAGCTGAAGAGGTTGACTTAGCTGTTCGACAGTGTGAGTTTCCAATACGACATTCCTGGACTTTGTGGGGGGGCTTCCAAGTCTGCAGCGAGAATTAACTATCCTCCCGTACTAGTAACTCTGTAACTTGGTCTCTCTTCTCCGTAGTCATATCGACCACGATATCGACGTCGTTTGCCACGCAGAGTAGATGAGCAGCAAATATCAAGGTAGCTACTGGTAAACCCTTTATGATGATACCTACATGTATCTTTGACTTTCGATAATGCGTCGGGGGTGTCACGTGGTTATCATGCGATATGGTATCCATTACTCCATAGTGTATCTCTTGATAGCTAGTATTCTTGACATGAGGCGTATACCATCTAGATATGCCCATGAAACCTTGGATGTGATCTGATGGATTTTGCTCTGGTTTAGGTAGCTTAGCCGACACTACGAGTCTCAGACCAGTGATTTTTCAACGAAGCTAATGAAAGCTTATAAGATCCACCAAACTACTAGTAAACCCTAAGTACCTGGCTTTTACCATTGGCTACACTAGCGGTGGGCACACTTTGTTGGGTCTAATGAAAATAAATTGGATTAAATATGACCAATATGCAAACGATGATTGTGCAAAGAAAAATAGAAGCTAGATAGAGGACACGATGTGGTGAATAGCATACGTGAGTGTACGCGATCTTTAGGTAGTGAAAAGGTCTATAAAAAGGAACGCTAAAAAAAGGGTAACTTGTCTGCCCATCCTGGGGTCGAACCAGGGATCTTCTGATATTCCTGATCATCTATAAACATAGAGTAACAGTCAGACGCCTTAACCACTGGGCCAATGGGCACTGAGAAACTATCGTCCCAACTTGTATTATATAGCTCTCATAGTAACTGGCTGGGGATCCCCAACCCTAAAGCTTAGACCCGCTCGCTACATAGATCCATTGCCTTAGTTGCGTCTAAGAAAATGAGCTTGAATCCGACGTGTTAAGGTTTGATCACATGTGTTCGAGATCTACAATTAAACTGTGCATCTTTTCAGGAGCAGTGTATTGCTGAAACATACGCGATTGATCTAGGAAGAGGTTAGTATTCTGAGAATAGTACGATACGTATAGTCATGTGATACCTTGTTTTCTTAACCTATCTATGATATTTTGAATACGAACGACATTATAGCTAACGGAGTATAGTACGTGGACAAGGTACTTCGGGATTTGTTGGTAACTATGGCGGATGCATACTGCTAAACGTTGGACTTCGGATAGTGATATACCTACGAGACGGCTGTAAGGCGAGAGAACTAGGACGAAAATTAGCTTCTTCTATCGTGAGGCTAAAATTTGTCCTTGGAAAGCCATACTTTATGTACGGTGAGAGCTATATACAGTGGCGGTGCGCGGGGCACTCGTATCAAGTTCTTTTCTCGTTCTTCCCTCTAAACAGCATCAAGCGTACCAGTCTGTCGAATATCGCGACTGCTTGCGCCGACGCTGAAGGTGAAAGTACCCAGAGGAACGACCCATTCCTGCTTTGATGTGTCCCAAACACTCAAGTCGCGCCTCTTAAGTTCAAAGGCTACAATATCCTCGGCACCCGGCTCCAAGGTCAACTTCTCGAATCCGCGAAGTTGCTTTGGTGGCGTCTTTGCAGATTCTGGGAAGCCTAGGTATAACTGTGCTACCTCAGCACCCTTGACAGCACCCGTGTTCTTGATGGTAACAGTAACGGTTATAATCGTCTCCCATAGATCAGCACGGCCTCCGGGGATGATTTCGCCTGTCGCCGGGCCAGCTGTAGGCCGTCCGTCGACGAAGATGCCCGAATAAGTGAAGTTGGTATATGCTACAGAAGGGGTCAGCTCAAGCTAGTTTGACTGGGGCCAGAAGGAGAGTCACTTACATAGACCGTAACCGAACTCGTATCGAGGCTCGATACCGTCACGGTCGAATTTGCGGTAATCGACGTATAGACCCTCCTTGAAGTCGTCATTACCCCTGACCACGCTGGTACCGTAATCGTTGGGAGACTTGGCAATGGTGTAGGGCAATTTGCCCGAGGGGCTAGTGTCACCGTAGAGAATATCGACGAGCGCGTTACCATTCTCCTGGGAAGGAAGACCGGCCCAGACAATTGCCTTGACGTTGGGCTGCGCAAGAATGGTCTCGAGGATAACCGGGCCGACCGAATGCACGACCACAATCACATTATTATTCGCCGCCGCGACGGCCTTGACAAGTTCGTTACCGTTGTGCCAGGGATCAAGGTTGTTACGGTCGCCCGCATGGTTCTCAACCGTGATGTATCCCTCGCCGCTGTCGGAAGTTATGAATACAATTGCGACGTCGGCGCCGTTCACAGCCGAGCCTACGGAGCTGGTGCTGTCGGATGAGGACAGACTGATCTGGCTTCCGTCTGCTTGAGCCCGGGTTTTGATGGCGTCTGCGGGAGCGCTGAAATAGGGGTAAGATGCGGTGCCGGATCCCCAACCCATCCCCAGAGCACCGGTATTGCACCCTTGGTCGGTGCAGGAGTTCATTCCCTGAGGATTAACGACAGCGGCAGAGCCGACCAGCCCAATCTTGGCGGGCTTCTTGAGAGGGAGGATGTTCCCCTCATTCTTCAGGAGGACAATCCCGTCCCTCGCGGTAGCACGGACATTAGTCTTGTGGTTTCCTTGTACGTTTGCCTTGAGGTTGATTGCGGGATAGCTACTGTCCTGACCGAGTAGGTACCACGCGGCAAGAATTCGACGAACCATGTCGTCGAGACGCGCTTGTGGCACTTGTCCACTGCTCACGGCCTGGGTCAACTTTGAGCCCCAGTAAATAGACCCGCCGTCAAAATCAGAGCCAGGCATTGTCATATCCAATCCGGACGTCGCAGCGGGCGCAGTTGAGTGCTGGGCATTCCAGTCTGTCATTATATATCCCTTGAAACCGAGTTCCTTCTTCAAGAGGGTATCCAGGACATAGGGACTATACCGCTTCGTATCAGTAACATCCAGTTAGACGATAATGGAGGACTCGTCACTTTAAATCCGGAAATATATCCGACAGAGTGAAAATAAGGTGATAACTCACTTCTCGCAAGCCCAGGTGCCGTTGATCTTGTTATAGGAGCACATAACAGATGCCGTGTTCGCGTGGACGGCATCGGCGAACGGCCAGAGATACAATTCATGTATCGTTCGGTCATCGATATTCGAGCTCATAGTCTCGCGGTTGAGTTCTTGCTCGTTGAGGATATAATGCTTGGCGCTAGCTTGCACACCAGCGCTCTGCATGCCCTCGATGGTTTCTGCCATTGCGATGCCCTGTAAGTAGGGATCGGCGCCGAAACCTTCCCAATTCCTGCCGCCAGCAGGGTTTTTCCCCAGAGGACCGGCCACAGGTCCCAGTAGGACGTGAACGCCGCATCCTTTCGATTCCTCGCCCATGAACTGTCCTCGTTCTCTTATCAGGGCGCGATCCCAGGTTGCCGCTGCTTGAATACCCGGGACGAAAGCGTTGACGCTCGAACCGTATCGAATGCCCAAGGGGCCATCCTGCAAGCAAATCTGGGGATAACTGATGGAACTGGCCGCCGCCGTATTGCCGACACAGGGGCCTTTATTCCACCCTACTCCGGTGACGATGTTGACCTTGTCATTTTGTGACAACTTCGCTAGCGAAGCATTAGCCTTTTCGTAGGCGGCCATCCAGTCCAGTGTCGCGGCCGCGGTAACCGTAGAGAACGCTGCAGCGAAGATTGAAGACCGCATGGTTAGTAGTCGAGCCCTACGTGTGCGAAGCAGCAAGAGTCGGTCACATTCCTTAAACCTACCAGACGCTTCTCACGACTTTTATATGATCTATCGAAGAAAGACATCTCCTAGCAGAGCTCCACAACACAATTTATTATCCCGAAATCTCTACGTGCCATGGCGTCACGAGGACCCCGGATCTTCTATATCTGGCAATTGACGGAAGAGTATGAAGAGGAGGCGAGTGGCATTTTCTTGCCGTGCCCCAGGTTGGGAATTGATTGATACTCTTGTCCCATCTTGGCTAACGGCAGCACCTCGGCTCGTAGCTCTCAATGAGTCGAAGATCTGCTTCCTCAACGTGGCCGGGTATGGTATTCCCCGAAACGCGATGTGCTTTTGGGTGGCGGAAGGGTAAAATGCGCTCTGGCTCCGGGCCGCATTAGCCATAGATTAATTAACGTGCCTCCGCTGCCAGGGTTTGGACTACTTAACCTTGCATGACCATATGTAACCATATGTGCGTGCCTGAATTTTTAAATCCGGGACCATAGCCAAGCCCATTTAAGATGTCCTGCTATTGATATTCTGGCGAGTTGCCATACTGGAAATTTGCTCAATACAAGCTGAGTGCGATGTCGACGTAACATTGTGCCTCCCCGCAATTCGCCATCCTCTTTCTATGTACTCGAGGCCGAGCGGTTTACGATGACCACATTGTCCCTTCTTTAGCGTGCTGAATCGACAAGTCGGGGTGGATTACGAGAGTTCTGCTATATGGCTGTCTATTTGGTTACATACTGTGAAGTTATCAAAATTTAAATGTTTAACCTAAGCCACACCATCGTGTTAAAGTATCACTGGAATGATAAGTTGCAGTAACGTTTTTAGCCTGTAACTAGACTAATGGCCGCAAAACTTAAATACGATAATAGAAAGTGCCAGACGCTGTAACAAGAAGAATTGGGAGGCTATTAGATGTTGATTTTCTCAAGTTAGAATTAATGGTTAGGATCGTCAAGATTAAGCTGAAATCCAGATAACGTAATTGACCCCCATAATGCCATGAAAAGGGGCGCTGAGGTTGTTTATTGTAATAAAGGGGCAAATCAATGTAAGAACCGAGGAATCCCAGGGCCAAGTTATGCAGTTATCCAATTCGGCGCATAGCTACAGGGCAACGACACTAAAACGTATATGGAAAAGTTGGGGCGGCAGTCCTCTATTGTAAAGAGTAGCTACGATATTCAGGGGTTCCACAAGCCTCACACGACAGGTTCCGCGAATCATGAAGGAAAGGAGTGAGCGATTCAAGATGAAGTGGATTAGGTCAAGTGGTGTCTTTAGATCTGCCTCCGCTTCATCCACGTGAAAACGAGACAAGTGATGTGCGGGTTTCTTCCTTGACGCTATGGTGCCTAGACTGGTCAGAGTAGGTGTTCTTGGTCTAGTGTAAGCCAGGCGATATCACTATACGGTTTTAGGGGGTCGAAGAGTATCGCGATCTGACGGCATTCGAGGTTACAGCAAGACACGCAATCAAGCTACGACGTACTAACACTGTACATTAGCATGTATAAGCGAGCGTGGCTCATCCAAGGGAGTGGTTTTGAACAACTTTATATGAAGTATTACATGAAGTGACAATTAAGCATGCATATTACGTGAGTAATGGCATACGCAGTGCCTAAAGAAACATCTGATACGCCAAATCAGGCATGCATAATCAAATTATCTTATGGGTAGTCATCATATCTAGTCGTGTCCAGTGATTTAGCGAGCAACATCCTCACCAAGTATTCCACTTCAGTCTGTTCACGTCACTACTCATATGTTGATCGGCTCAAGACTAATAAGAAACCTTATATGACTATCCTATTGTCATTACCGCGTATACCGAGCGGCTGAGTACAGATGCAGATATGATACTACTGCTCTCCCCTATAGTTACGCGTTCGGGGAGTCGGGCGGCACTGGGCTCGACGCAACTAGGTTGGTCGCACGATCATTGAAACGAGAATGCAAGCTTTCACAATTGCGACATAGCAAACATGCAGACACTCCTTATGTACAGAGATCCGAAATTAATATTTAGGAAAA